AAAAGAAGGGAAAACAAAGTTTTTGACAACATAATGTCACTTAACAAGACACTGGGGAAAAAGATGTGAGCAACACTACAAGTACACAGCTCAGCAAGAGACAAGAATGAAACTAATGTGCAGGGCCTCAAAAGAAAGCAGCCTATGGGGAAGGAGACAAGAATTAATTAGTGTGGATGAGGGAGCACCATAACTCTGGCACAGATTTTGGTGGAAAATGAGCATATCAATCAGGCTCTTGAGTCTTTAAAACAGATTTAGCAAGACACTCAATTGAAAGCAAGAAACACTACCAAGAAACTGCATTACCTCACACTGCAACTGTAAGGAAATAGGAGCCACTACCAAAAAAAGAACAGTTTAAGGTGGGGAGGGTATGAGGAAACCATGAAGAACTTCCTTTGGGCTTGAACAGAGCCAGACCAAAAATAGAGACCTGTCAGAAAGCAACAGATGCTACCCAGAATCTGAGCAGCCTAACAGAGGAAACACTACAGTCCTGCGCTTACTTCTGACACAAACAGGAGCTGAAGCAGCACACAAGCAAAAACATCAGTGGGGAGAACAGCCTCTTCAAATCTGTGTGGAGCCCAGCAAAAAAGCTTGGTGACTCCCACAGTAATGTACAAGGTACAGGAGCAACTAATCAGATGCTGATCTCTATCTCAGACCTGAGAACAAAAGACAGACTGGAGAAAAAAAGCACCTGAGAAAGCTCATTAGGAAGGAGAGGTACCAAGAGGGAAGAAGGTGGATGATGAGCCCATTAGAGCACCCAAGCCCATCCAGTTCCAAACAAAGAAAACCCAGGAGTTCAGAGCTGGGGGGTCTTAATAAAGCTCAGACATTAGTAGGCCTCATTTTCCTGCAGCATGTCACCATTCACTGATACACCAAATATTCATAGAAAATAATCTTTTTGAACAACTTTCAGGATATAGATCAGACAAAACAGAGCACTGGGGTTACTGGTTACAGGCCAGGCAGGGCCTTCAGTGAAGAGCACCTATAACCAGAAACTGCTGAAACACTTGTGCACCTCAATGTGAGCTAGGAGTCACCAGAATGAGCTTCCACTGACAAGCAAGGAGTGCAGCAGGAGGAAGAGAATGACACAGGACTACATGCAAACAGCAACATCAGAGGCTCTTTAGCATGGAAATCAATGGCAGGGGAACAGGCCTGTTTGTCACCCTTAAAGCAGCCCCTAATACCACAGACAATGGCATCACTTCCAACTCCACAGCCTTAGTCTGCCCATCAGAAATAGCAAGACCTATAATTCTAGCCACTTTTCACTCACAGGATACATTACTTTGAAGTACTGAATTTTTCTTCACCATCAGAAGGGAATTCCAGATTTAGCAAACAGGACACAAAAGAGCAACTCACACTATTCAGTTGGTCCAATCCTCTTGGACAGCATAGGAGCTTCTACACCTTTGAAATAAGAGTCTAAATGTCCTAATCCAGATTAAAGCTACATCAGTTCTCAACCTGTGTATAGTTTAGACTCCTTTTTTGTAGGCTTTGTTTTGTTTGGTTTTTTTAAATTGAATCTTCAAAAGTTAATCTAGATTAGTAAAAGAATCTTTTTTGAAGCTATTTTCAAAACACTTAGGTGGAACACTTTGCCAATGCTAAAATCAGATTCTGAAACACATCCAGCAAGAAACTGATCAAAACTTCCTGAGAGTTTACTCCACCTTTACATGTGAAAATGTTAGCTAGTTTCAGTAAAGAAACTAACTTACAGATTCCATTCTTCACTTTATATGGAGGTGACCATGCAACTTGCATCACAATTACACAGATTATTCTAATCTAGTTAGATGAATTTTGTTGTACATGGAGCCTCAGAAGTGTATTCATCCCCACACAGCAGCCAGAATTAGTATGAGAATTGCCAGCAGAATTACAGCAGTGCCAGTTCTCCAAAATCAAACAGAGAATTTATGCAATATTCTGCTGTCACAGACCTGATGATATAGCCACCCCTTCATCACATAAAGGGTAACGGCATCCTAATTAAGAACTGAGGCCTTATGTTCCACAGAAGAAAACTAATGAATTGACTATGAAGATGTCATAAAGTGGGATGTGACTCTGATATTTTGCCTTGTGGATAAACTAGTGTCAGTAAACAATTTATTTCATGCAGAAGTCAAGTAGTATAGGCTGCAGTGGATTTATGGCTGCCTGCATTTTAGAACTGTTGTGTCTCCACAGAATAACTGTTGCCCTGGCTATCATTCCAGCCTCTACACTGCTGCTGGAACCGTAAACATATTCTCATTAGTGGTCCATGGCAATTTATATCACAGAATAGCTTGTGTCACACCATAGACTGGAGAGCTGCTGCTGTGCAGCCAAATGTTAGCTTTTTTAACCAGATCTGGAACAATCTGGCTACTTTGTCACAACAAAAATACCTGATCTGTGTAGGGAAACATATACAGGCATGATACTATTTATTGCTTATAGAATGAAGGGGTCAAATTCCACCAGTATCCTATAATGACCCTGAAAAATTCCCAAGAAAGATTTTTGATGCCTACTGCCTAAATTTTTTAAGTTTTAGTTTACTTATCCATCCTGAAGTAACACTGAATGGCTACCAGGCCAAGAGCACAAACAAGAAGACAAAATTGTAAGTCTTTATCTGCTTTGAAAGTTGAAGGTCAACATATGCAAAAGATACTTTAAGTTTCCTTCCACTGTCTTTCTGGAAGACAGTAAAATTGGGTCCCCATTGAGACTTTCTAACAAATCCTTGTTATTATGCAATAAACATGCACAAGAAGGCCTTGCTCAGTTTAAACAGAATGAATCTTCTGGTGAAGGAGAAAGCTGCAGTGAAGGACAGGCAGCTCTTCCTTGTCAGAAGTGAGAAATTAGTTTAATATACTGTGCAAAAGAAAGACAGAAGGGAAGGAGAGATCCCCTCATTAAATGCTCACCATTTGAGCCCTGCTTAATATGTTGACTGATAACTAGTGTACGCAGTTGCAACAAGCAGAGGCCATTCCAAACAATGATGCCCATCTGTTATGGTAGCACTTCAGTCTTAGAACTTCCAGCTGCCACTTTGGGTTAGATGTGCCACATTATGCACAGCCTGGCCTCCCAAACAAGGACAGGCTGCACACCCTGCCCCTGACTTCTGCACCTTCAGCATCAGCCTGGGTGCAGTGACAGGGACTGAGCAGAGTGCACATGCCAGGGAAAAAAGGGGACTGCACCTATACCAGAACACAGGCTACTCAAGGCACAAAGGCAGCATGCTTTCAATGTCACACACCACACAGCAATCAACTTTTTAAGTTGGTTCATTCTACATGCCTTGCTGAGGAAGTCAGCAATGGTCACTATCAACCTCCACTGCAGGGCTGATTTTCACAGGTAGAGTGACTTAATAGAAAAATTCCTTTGTTCTACAGAGAAACAAAGCCTGTTTTACCACACCATGGGCATCAAGTATACACTTCCAAATTCTAACCAGGATCCCCTTACCTAGTCTGTCTGATAATTACCCTTGTCAATAGGAGTAGAGCTGATCTAGGAGAAAAGGGGATGCTTTCCTCTTTCCCAGAGGACAGAGAAGTAGAGACATGACTACAAGAAGAACCACCTCAAGAGATGTGCCTATCTGCATGCTTAAGGAGCACATGTACAAGGTACATAAGCACATGACTGTTCTGCTGCACCTCTCCAGAGAGGTAAATGTAGGTCTAAAGGCTTGACAGGTGCAGCCTTCAACTCAAGGACAGCTGAATTCACTTCAGCATTAACATAATGCTTCAGATCAACACAGGCCTTGTATCTAACAAAGGCTTCAAAACGACATATATGAACTGAATTGTTCTGCACACCCCATCATTAACCAGGGCCAAGAGTCCCCCTTGCCCACTACTGTGCAGCATGTGGCAGCAGCATACCTGTTTCACCATGCTGCCATAAATAATGAGGTACTGCAAAGTAAGTGCAGGGTTAAGTAAGATTACAATATTTGCATATAAAACCAATTCAATTACCTGTTTTGCGCACGGCTTTTTTCTCGTCATCTCCATTTTAGCAATTTCTTCATCAGGATCCTGTAAGAACTGCAAAAAGCGACATATGATTTCCGGAGCACAAACCGCGGGCCCAGCAGCTGTTGGCCGCAGTGACACCCGCCTGTTCCGCAGGAGCACAGCCCCGCAGGCCCACCGCGTGGGGCCCGCACCCCAACAAAAGGCGGCGAGGCCGCGGGGGCCCAGCCCGGCGGTGGGGCCCGCACTCACCGTGGCCACATCAGCTTTCCTCTTGCGGGCTCGCATGGCGTACTCGGCACGGGCGTCCCCCTTGGCAGGACCCTTGTCGTCCGCGCAGTCGCTGCGGAGAGAGGGGAAACTGAGCGAGCGCCGGCCGGGGAGGCTGCCGGGGTGCCCGGCCTGCAGGGCCCCAGGCAAGGCGGGCCCGGCGCACTCACCTCTCCCGGCGCATGGCACCCGTCTTGGCCGGCAGGCCGAGCCGAGCCGAGCGCGGGACGGGGCCGAGCGGACCCGAGCCGCAGACCCCCCCACAAAGGCCGGCAGAGGCGCGCAACGGGCGGCCAGAGCGGCCCTACCGGCTCCCCCCGCCCCGCGGCAGCCCACCGCCCCCTGCCCGCCCGCGCTGCCGCTCACTCACCGCCACACCAGCCCTCTCCGGCCGGGAGCGGGTGGCCGGCGGGTGCCGGGCCGGTGGGGCAGGGCGGGAGGCGGGCGGGTTCCGCCGGGCGCCTGCTGCCTCACGGCGCGGCCGCTCCCGTCCCTGCGCGCGGCGCGGGCCGCGCCCGGCGGGACATTTAAACGCGCGGCGGCGGCGCGGGGCCGCCTCCCGACCGCGCACGTGGGGCCGCGCGCGGGCCGGGGCGGGGCCGCCGGGGCGCGGGAGCCGCGCGGAGTACCGGGAGCGGCAGGGGGCGGGGTCGGGGGCGGGGCCTGCGGATCCCGCGCGGAGCGGGGCAGGCGGGGCGGGGCCGGAGGGGCGGGGCTCGGACGCGGAAGCGGCGGGAGCGGCTGTGACACGTGGGACCGCGCCGGGTGAGCCGGGCCGAGCCGAGCCGAGCCGAGCCGAGCCGAGCAGAGGGGCTGAGGATCCTTGGTCTCGGCCCTGGCTCCCGGCCCTGTCCCCTGTCCTGGTCTCGGTCCGGGGCGGGAGGCGGGGCCGCCACCATGGCCTGCCCAGCCCGGCTCCGCTCACGCCCTCCTTCCCTCCCCGCAGGCCATGCAGCGGCCCGGGCTGTTCGGGCGGCTCAGAGCCGCGGTCGTCGGGATGGTGCACGTGGGAGCGCTTCCAGGTAAGCGGCGGGCGGGGGGCATGGCCGGCGGGACCCGGACCCGGACCAGGACGAGGTCTGTGTCGCCGGTGTCACCCCTCAGCCGGCTGCGGTCCCCTGGGGGGCTGTCCCCTCACCGCCACCACGGGCCCCTCGTGAGGCGCCGTCAGTTTGGGCGCTCCCCGTTTCAGAGGTAAAAAAGGCGAGAAAGTTCCGCACAGGGAGCCGGGCTAAGCAAACGAGGATTTGGGCTCGGTGCGCTCTGTGTTTCAAGCAGCGAGGGTCAGGGAGTTGCACGGATAGGCGGTGGGGTGGGACGGAGGTTGGATAGAGCTCACCCATGCCCTTGGAGGCAGCGGGAAGCTCGGACAACAGGCGGAATCTGTTCCAGCCTGGCCTCCTCGTCCTTTCCAGGGGCTCGGGGTGGGCAGGGCTGCTCAGGACCGGCACCTTGCCCTCGGCAGGCTGATGCCCGGAGCTCAGGGTGCTCCAGAAGCAGCTCCAGGCAGTAGGGCCACCTCACCCTGAGCTGGGAAATCCGGCCAGGTAACAGAGCTGGGACAGAGCGCAGCACAGTGCCCATGTCAGACTGCCACTGCCTGACCTTAGGGACCCAAATGTCAGAAGAGACCTTGGTCTTAAGGCAAATTCATTGAACTCAACAAAATCCATATGTGTGTATTTCTGCCATGAAGATCAGAGACAATCACCAGCAGATTAAGGATAGCTTTAACTGGTTTTAAACTCACTGTTGTTTGGCATAGGTGTTCTATGCTGACACAGAGGTCAGTCTTGCCTATAGGTTGTATTGTCTGGAGCATCACTAATGCAGGATAAATTACACGTATGTGAATAGCAAACTAGAAGCAGACCTAGTGCAACAGGGGATTATATATATTATAAATCTAATCCTCAAATTTGTGGATTAGATTTAGAAGCTGAATGGTTACAGCAGCTCTGCCAAGCTTAGCTAAGGAAAGAGATGTCACTAAGACATGTCACAAGGAGATAGGGCAGCCTTTGAACAAATTTGCCCTGTATGTCCCTGTTTCAGTGTGCAATCCCCATGGATGTCCTGGCTAAAGCTGTTACTGTCCATGGGTTTGGTTTGTGCATGCCCTGAGGTAAGCAGCATTGTTCTTGCTTGCAGGGACACCAAGAAGTTCTCTTCCACTGACCCAGATCATTGATCAAGCTTGTCAAGAGGCAGAAGTTTACAAGGATGCTGGAATTGTAAGTTTTGATTTCTTGCTTCCCATGATGGCCATTACACAAAACCACTTCTGCATAGCCAGAATTTTAAATTAAGCTTATAGTTAAAAGCATCAAAAGCATCTTGAAGCTCATAGATTAGAGATGCTTAAATCCATGTAGTTTATTTCAACAGAGGAAGTAGGCCTTCTAGATTACAAAAAAAAAATCCTAAGTATCTTGCACCTAAAACAATTGAAAAAACTTAGATTCAAATAGTACAGTTCAAGTTGTTTGAGTTGGATGAATCAAGTCAATTTAAGGAGTTAAAAAAAAAAAGTGGCCAGAAATATGGGCTGTTGCTGGCATTCAAGGTCTGTAGAATGCTTCATCAATCTAGTCTGACAAGCCACTGTATTTTTAGCTGTGTGCAAGCCTCTGGTTTCCTGAGGTCGTGGAGGTGTGCCATGTGCACAGCTGATACACTGCATGCACACCTCAGGAACCTGGAGGGTGCAGGATCACCCCACAGCTGTGTTTGCAACAAAACAGCACAGATAATTCAGGATCTAAAAAAAAAGTGGCTCAAGCCCTTTGCTGCCCTCTCTAAGCCTCTCTCCAGGCCCCTGGCAGCAAACATCTCTGCTCTGCACGTCCAGAAGAGCAGGCCCAAAAGGCCACTCTCAGCCAGAGGCAAGAGGAGACTGCTGTCAGAATTGCTGTTGGACCTGAAGTGGGGTAGTAATCTTCATAGGTCAGTACATTTTAACAGGGTGTATGTCCTTTTGAAAGGTCAGATATGTTTTAAACATTTCATTACACCTTGTCTTGGGGTGTTGATGTGCTTTTTCTTTCACCTGCCCACAGCATTATGAACGTTTTCTGGCGGTGTACTAATGTCCAAGGTTTGAAAATGTCTTCAGTGAACAAGCAGTCACTGCTCTGAGCTGCTGTTTCCAGGAAAACTTTATTAGCAAGCAGGTTGAAGCGTTTTTAATCTTTAAATTAGAATGATACTGTACAGACAGAGCAAAATTGAATGCCATAGAAGATCAAGGTCAAAATGCAAGACAAGTCACACAAGGCAGGTTATGGGCACAGCCCTGGTAAGGCTAAACTAGGAGAATAGAATCATTGAAAGGATAAACAGCACTGGGGTAAAATGATGTGGTAAAATGGGTAAATGATGGGGTAAAAAGCCTAGTGGGCATCAGTACCCATGAACCAGATGAACATGTGTGAGATGTCCACCCAGTTAGAATAGTCCCTGACTGCAAGTTGAACAGAACAAGGAAGTTTTCTTCCTTTTCATTCCTCCTGAAAGAACAGGTGTGCAATAACTCTCTGTTCTGTACTGTGCCTTTATATTTTGTTGTTGCAGTATCACCATGATCTACTTCAGAAGAGTGGCAAACACTAATCTCTGCCTTCCTGTGCCAGAGGAAGTGCTTGCACAGATAACCTGTAACTCATAAAGCCATTGCTCCACACTGCAGTGCCTGTTTGCCCATTTCCTTACAAAATAATTGCACTCTGAAACCTTCAGCAGCAGGGGGAAGACAGCAAATACTCCTGAAGGTGAAGGAAGCTACAGAAGCAGTCACTTCCTGCTGGCATGCACAAAGCTGGAGCAGCTTTGAGATAAGCTTTAAAATCACTGCTAACAAAAAGTTTTAATTTGGCTTTTACACTTTGTCTTTTCAAGAGTAGTACTATATTCTGCAGTTCCTGCTCTAACTGGTTTGCCTTTTGTGCAAGTGCATTGCAGTCTCTGAACTTGAATAAACCTACCTGTCAGGAGACACCTGAGGTGAATGCAGTAATTTCTGTACACAGGTGGACAAATTCAGGACTTAAGAGTTGTAATTAACCCATTTTCCTATAGAAGTCACAGGAACATCAATATACTTCCTCACCAGTCTTCATTCTAAAGGTCTGCACAGTGTTAGAGAATAGAACAGAACAGGGTTAGAGCAATATAAGAAACGAATCTTTTATTAAGGAGATAAGTCTCAGATATAATCAAGAGGGCATCCATAAGCACCATTAGGATTGTTTTACACTTTCTGCAATTCAATTCTTTAGTTTTTTGTGTTACTTTAAGAGAAATGCAAATTTTCATGAGAGATGCTTTCAGGAGCTTCCCAGCTTTCACACAGAGATCACTGCTGCCAAACTACTCTGGAATGGGGATCTATTTGGGTTTCTTGCTCAGTACTCCAAAGGAGCTGCTAGGCTGTCCATTTTTCTTGTGGAAGAAGAGCTAGAGAAAGGGTTTTTTTCCCCATGGATGTTTGTACTGGCACGTGGAGGGATAGAATGTAAGAGAAAAGTGCAGAAGGTAATCTCACCTGAGGAGTTGCAGCTGTGCTAATTACCAATTAGGAGCAGGCCTGCTCTTTACAGGCCACAGCTGTGTCCAGTGAGGATGAGTGCTATAAAAGAGTGGGTTAGGTGGGTGAGGAGAGAGTTGGAGTTTGTTGGTTGTGCTGTGAGGAGATGTCCATGGGAAATCACCAAGAAGGTATAGAACTTTTGCAATAAGATGACAACACTGGCAGTGTTCCCAAATGCTGCCCACAGTAGCCCTTAAGAAGATACATAATCATTTACTGCTATTTAGATGTTTACATATTGTCTCAAATTGTTGAAATTGGTGTTAACATTTAAAAATAAATTATATGGTCTTGCTCATTCCATCTGTGTTGCACTTGGAAGTAAATCCTGGTATATTCAGAGTAAGGTGACTTGTCTGGCACATTCACAGCTTCACATAATAAATATGAAGTATTTGTGATATTAGAGCATAGTAATGAAAACAAGTGAGTGCTCAGTTAGGAAGCCATCTGTGCTCAAAATGTATATGCTTTGTACTTGTGTGTTGCTAAACAATGAAATTCCCTAGACAAGATTTTATAAGCAGCAGGCTATGAGCCATTATAATCCCTCCAATTTGTACCTGCTTTTCTTTAAGAGGCAAAATGTATCTCTTCAGGTTAACTTTTATTCATTCCATGCAGCCTGGCTGACATTTGTTTTGGAGCTAAAAAAAAGAGCACACGTTCCCACTTGACTGTTAGTTACTGTTCTGAACTGTAGCTACTGGAGCAGCTGACATTAAAAACAGTTACTAGTATATGTTTTACATTGATGTTTTTAAAAAATAAGAGTGATAAGCCTATTGCTGTTATAACTACAGTGATAACTGGAATTCACAACACTTAGAATTTAATAACAGTGGAGACAGAATAAAGTAGTATTTCTGCATAGAAACATGTTGGTAGCTTTCATTTAGATTACAGAGTTTAACATTTCAAATCTCAGCTGTATTACAGGAAAATAAAATAGCAGACAGACTGCCCACAGCTACCTCCTCTGGCATGTGCAGGAGAACATGAGATAGCAGCTTACTTCTGTTAAGGCAGCAATCTGCTCTGGAGGTGAGTTTTTAAAGGAGTTGCTAAGAGCTGTGCTTACAAACAGCAATTAAATGCTCTGCAAAGGCACCTGATTTCCTTTATAAGGGGCACATGAGGGGTGTGGGGTGATTGCTGCCATTGTTTTAGCCCCCACCTGAGCCTGTATAATAACAGGGATGGTGCCAGCCCTGCTCCCTTTCTGGAGGAAAGATTAGAGGTGCTGAGCTTGGAGACTTTGTCCTGAGGTGCACATGTTTGCAGGTAAAACCTTTCTCTGGGGAGAAGCACTGGGGTTAAAGTTGCCTGGGAAAGAGTTGTGTTAGGCATATGCTGAGTTAAAACTTGTGCAATTGTTACCTCAGTTGTGGTTTGTTACTGTTTTGAGGCTTTCCTGCTGTATATGTGTGAGGCTGAAGTGTTTTAAGAGGTTATTTCTGTAAGCAGAATATAGCTAAGGAAATTATTTTTCATATAGTTAGAGAGCTAATTAAAGGACCTGTTTTTCAGTAGCTGACTGTGATACAAAGGGCACTTCATGTGTAGCACTTCAGAAGTCTTTCAAAGTAAAAAGGAAATACATTGCTTGAAAATTACTTATAATAAGGCTATTGCATATAAGCAACACTTAAATTATCTTAACATTCAATGGGAAAAGGAGCACAGAAGGCACTTGCAAGAGTTTTCTCTCATACTGTCTGTGTAACTCCTGCTTTGGAGGATATAATGCAGAAGCTGTTTCTGTAGGCTTCTACACCATAAGCTTAAGTTCCAAGAAGTTTAATTTAGCATAACTGTTTTCTTTCCCCCACTTTAATTAGCTGTCTGATAGTACTGAAGTTTGTTTCCTATACATATCAAGTCAGTAAACACAAATCTGTGGTGTTATATTTTTATTTAAAATATGAAAGAAAGCTCTGACTTAATGCATCTGTAATTCAGCTTTCTGTATTGCAGAACATATGTTGTTCTCTTTTTAATTAAACAAAGCATAATATGCAAAAGAACAGTCGGATGGTACCAAAAGAATAACAAATTATTAAAGTTCTACCAAAAATATTCACTGTAACTGTGGACCTTGAGGCTATAGGAAGAGGCAGTTGCTGCAAAGTGAATATAGTAAATTTAAAGCAGGAGAGAGAACTGTTGCAATCCTCCCATATGCCTGCATTTTGAGTTAGAATTTAATGAGACACTTTTTATGTGTAGTACTATGGCTAGGGGTTTTTATAACTTATTAAATGAATTAATTCATTAATGCAGCTAATGGAATAATTTGCTTTATGCAAATCCATAGCGGTCAAAGTAGTAGCAAGTTGTGAAAAGCTCAGTTTCACTGTGGAATTCTGCCAGCCCATTCTCTTGCTTTTTTGGCTACTGGTCTGGCTCTTTAGGAGCTGAGCATTTTGAAGCCCCATTCCCAGTTGCCTTTCTCCCTGTTGAGATTGATTCTTGACTGCCTGGAAGCCTGGGGATGCTGTTTTGCAGATCATGCTTCCTGGCCTTTGTGATAAGCTTGGAGTTTCCCTAATACCCAGATTTTGCTGAAATCTGCCAAGTAGAGCATTTCTGAGCCAAGGGCTCCCAGGCTTTTTGGCCTCAAGGAATTACCTGGTTTTGATGGCTTGTTGCATTTTTGAATTTGCTTTGTTAAGGTATTTTAGTTCTACATTAGTCCTTTTGCAACTGCTGACCAGGTTTGCATTCTTGCTGAGACTGACTTAATATGTAGTGAGGAAAAGAGGCTACAGGGTTTCTCTTTCTGTTGGTACCAAAGGGATTCATAGCTGTGCCTCAGATAACAAGACCATTTGGTCATTTCAGGTTTGTTGGAGCAGTCCTAACCTTATTCCAGAAAAAATGACTTAAAATTGTGGGGTTTTTTTGTGGATTTCTTAGGTCAGGTTGTCATCTTGGTCATATGGCTATGTCCCATCATAGGTACAGAAGTGTGGATGTTCCATATTGAACTGGACACACAAAGTCAAGTGCAGATGTTTTGATTGGTTGCCATACCTGCTGCTCTTTTGCCTAATTCAGGTTTTCCTGGGCTGGAATTATGTAATTGAATATGTTGGTGAATGGCATCACAGTGCAAAGGTCTGATGTGGAGTGTCATCATATCAGGTCACCTTTTCCATTAACAGGTCACATCCCATTGCTTTTTAGGTAGCATGTCCTTTGTGTATTTAAACACTGAGCTGTGAGTGATTTGGAGAAGGCAGCTGTGCCCTGGTGCATTGGATGTTTGCAGGTTCTGTGCCTGGACTGACCATGTTGCTCCACTGGATTATTTCCTTCTCACTTTTCCCCACCCTCTGTGTTGGGTTCATTTATGATGCCTGTGCCTTAGCCTGTAATTCAGCCATTAAATACACTATTTTATATCCTGTCTTGTCTTTTACTGCCAGAAGGGCTTCCACACTACAACAAAGATTAGAAAAGTGTCACATATAAAATGTTTCTTAAAAGGAAACTTTTTTTTGTCTCCCCTTCCTGATTCTCTGTGTTATTAAGAACCAAGCTGCTATGTTTAATCTCTAATTGTACTTTTTCCCAAAAAATGTTCCTCCTATTCTTATTCAGCTACCATCTCTGTGAAAGGTAAAGCTCTCATTTTAAAGGATTAAGATGTGTGATAGAACTCCAGAGAGAGCAGAATTTATTTGCTATATATACAATTCGTTTGTCTATTAAACTTGTTGCATTTTTAGAATTAAGCTGGTGAGAAATATCTGGTTTTCTTTTCATCTTACTGTTAATGCAAAATACCAGGCATGGAATATGTTTCAAGGCTCTACTTTTACTCTTGTTATTGATCCTTAACAAAATTATACGTTATCTGCAGTTTTTGCAAACTTTTTTGTGTAGCCTATGCAATGATTAGAAATGTGTGTGGCATCAAGTAATGTACAAATTGTATCAGCAGAGTGTTTTATCATCACTCCATTGTTTGCTAAGTGTACGTCCATGTGGATGGAGAGCTATAATAGACAATAAGTAGCAATATCTTCTTTCCAGTAGTTCTGATTACAGACTGGGAGAAATATCACTAGTTCATATTATGGCATTTGGCAGAATAACAGTCAAACAAAAAATTCCTTTATTTATCCAAAGTAACACTTATTTTCAGACATTAATTGAATTGAAATTATCTCAGAGTCCTCTGTTATCCAAACATACTCAATATCCTGTATTCCCCTTGGATAATTGAAGTTTGACTTTACACTATTTTTAATGAGGTATAAGATTTAACTCATTTGCCTATAGTTCACATTTTAGGATGGATCAAAGGAGCCCAAATTGATGAATGTATAATTAAAATCACATTTATTTCTCTCCATGATTTCACTGCAAATACCCTGCTGTTGATGAAAGCACTTTTATACGTGGTTGTGCGCATCAAATGCATCAGCACAACTTGCTGTAGCTAATCCTCCCTCTGAAGGAACACCTCTGCACTTGTGTGTCTCAGTGCACAGTAAATAATGGTGAGCAGGCCATGTTTGTACAGTGCAGTGATATTTTTTTGTCATTCTTTGCCCAGGATGGGTTGATCCTGGAGAACATGCACGACGTGCCGTACACGGTGAGCCCGGGCCCAGAGGTCACCGCAGCCATGGCCGTGATCGGTGCTGCTGTGAGACAGAGCTGTCCCCACGTCCCTCTGGGTGTGCAGGTGCTCTGTGCTGCCAACCAGCAGGCAATAGCCATTGCTCTGGCTGCAGGTAATGCAAAGGGCTCCTCAGGGATTGCTGCTGTTGCTGTGGCATTCACTCTCCACAAGCTGGCATGGATACCGTGAAAAGCTGAGTGTGCCCTGAAACAGCAGCAGTTGGGTTCTGAGAAAGATGCCTGCTTGGTTAGAGTGGGTGGTGTTTGTGCACTGCTTCAGTTGGAGCCTGCTAAAGGCTGTCACCACAGCTTTCTGGGTGAAACCTGTCTAAAAATCATCATTAGTTTAAATCTGCTCATGTCTAAAAACCCCCCTTGGTGTAACTCTTATTTATTTCAGTTATATGTTATATATATTCATATGTTTTATAGATATGTTTCAGTTATATATAATAATATATAATATATATAATATTATATATATCATAATATATATTATATATAATATATATAATATATTATATGTATTTTATATAAGTATATGTAAATTTTACCCATGGGGGTTAAGCATCCTGTTTCAGCATCTGTTTATATGTTGTTGCTGCTACTGTTGTCCATGCAAACTAAGCTTTCGTTGTCTTTAATGAATGAGTAGAATGAAACTTTTTATATAATGACAAAAATTGAGTGTATAGATAGCCAAAGTACTTAAAATTAAATTGCCTTTGGGGCAATTAAATATAAATTAATCTATCCTTATTGCATGAATCCTAGACTTGGCTAAATTTTCTGCTCTTACAGTTTGCTGAAGCAATTTTAGTTTTTTCATATGTAACCCTCCCTGATGTAAAGGTGTAGGCTGGCTTCATATGGAAAGCCTGTACTTGCTAAATTCACAAATTGAGGGTTAATGCATGTTTTTGCCCAAATTGACTGTCATTATGGTAAGGCTGCACGTTTTTGCATGTACAAATTTCACAGAACCAGCTAGAAGATGCTGGTGTTAAGTGAAAGCCATACTTCAGGTGCAATCATGCAGGCTAACCCATCTGCAGTGGCAGTTTTAATTATGCCTAATATGTTCTAAAAGCTTTAAATTCTTGTTAATAGATGTCTTTTGAACTGGCATTTGTTTTGTGAGCTTTAAAATCAGATGTTGCCATTTTCAAAATATCTAGCCACTTGACAAATTGGGAAAACCTAATTTTTATTGCTGCATTGGAACCTATGTGAAAATCTCAAATAAAAATGGTGACAGAAACCAGTTTTAGTTTTTAGAGATTACTGCATGTGGGCCATTTGAGGTACATTGGTATTTGAAAAAATAGCACATACCCTATTTTTAAAAGCAATCCTTTGAGGAGTAAAAAATCATCACTAAATAAGGGATATGGTCTGGGAACAATGTATTTCTCTTCTTTGCAATTATTAATGAAAGGGAGAATTCCTGGAGGGCTTGGGTTTTGCTCAGCTCCACTCCTGTTCTGCACTATTTCCTCTGTAACTGTGGAACACCAACCAGGAAGGGCCTGTGTTTAATGCATTTCATTGCACTTCTCTCAAAATTATTGGCTCAAGTTCACTGAACAGGGAAGCAAAAAGAAAATCACTTTAAGCAAAACCATAGTAAAATGGGTGCTACTTTGTAGGTAGCAAATCTTTAAACAGCTTTTCTGTAGCAACTTAGTGGTGGCTTTAATGTCAATATAATTTTGATAGGTAATTATTAACAAGGCAAATCCTGTATGCTCTCACTACAAAAATAATTTGTTGAAGGTGTTCTAGCTAAAAACCATATGTAGCATCTTCTGCCTACTATACAGTAATTTCATTTTCCCTGTGGAGATCCCTGTCTTTTGTAGGAATAACTGTTCTTAAGAGAACCATGCAGGGAATTCATAACTGGTCTCTAGGAGAAGGTAATGATTTTATTTGGTAAAGGGTGGAGGCAAATCCACAGGTCTGCAGTGTGAGGAGGAGCTCAGCTTGCTTGAGCAAGGACTGGAGGGTCCTGTGCCTGGGTGAGCCTGGGGCACTCACCAGGAATCAGGGCTTAATTTTTAGCTTATCTCATAAATTTAGAAAACAATGGTTCAGTTGGAAGGGACTTTAAACAGTCATCTGGTCCAAGTGCCCTCTGTACCTGAAGCTGCCCTTTTCCCTTTAAGAATCAATTATTGAAATTCCAGTTCTGGATCAGCCTTCGTCAATGATGATGACACAGTTGATAGCTGATAAACGAGGCTTCGTGTCAGGAGCTATCCCCGATCTCTCCATGTCTTTTGCAAACAGCTTTGCTGTCTGAGCCCATTCCTCTCCCTCCTGCACCAGCAGAGTGGGAATTCACTTGCTGTCACCTGTGACACTGTTTAGGGCGAGACAGAATCAGGCAGAGCTGTGTGCTGTGGTTTTTGCTGCCCTTTTTAAGTGCCACCATATTAATGCAGTGGTGAGGGGAGGCAGCTCAGCTGAGAACTGCAGCAGGAGCACCCAGAGGTGCTGTGGATCCTGCTGGGAGAGCTCCTGTGCCTGCAGCCCATCCTGAGCACAGCAGGAGCTGCTGCAAGACAGTGTCCTGAGAAGTATTTTTGCAGCACAGACACGCTGTGCTTCCAGTGTCAGCAGCAGATCAAGTCAGTGCTCCTCTAAGAGTTCTGTTTATTAGTTTTCATTGGATGTTCCCTATCCTTGTTTTCCAGTGAAACTACAAAATGTGTTGTCTCCATATAAGTCAGAAATGGGACTGCCTATTAACTATTCAATGGCTATTACTTTTCAACTTTCAAATGAGAAAGTAAGCACTAGTATCATTCTCACAATTTTATGAGCATAAAAATGAATTCATTAGCAGAATCTGATTATGGCTTCATAAAACAGAAGGGTAATGATATGGTGCCTGCACCTATTACACTTGGTTAAAAATTGTATTTTCATGGCCTCCAAAAACCCAGATTGAGAGTGCAGCCTTGTTAAGCTAAGTACAATTCAATGTTTAGCAGAAACTCTTATATTACTGCACTAAGGAAACACAAACCAAACATCAGCAAACAAGATGGCTTCAATAAATGAAATTACTCAATGAATAGCTCCTGTCCCAAGTTAAACCTTGCTTGCTGTGAAAGTGTCTCTAGGCTCACCCACAGTTTTATGATTAGAGAAATAATTATTATATAACTCTGAATTGTACTATAAGCTTGGGTGATGTAATTAGAAGCTGTAGCTTTTGTTCCTAGATGTAGAAATCTCAGTTTAGCTGTTTGCACTGTGTTTATCACCCAGTGTCTACAAGCACCTGCAGTGGTACTTGTGGCACACTCTTGTCTTGGATCCTGGGAATACTCTGTGCTTTGCATTCATCTCAAGGCAAGGACAGCTTGCATTTGATTTGGCATCCATCTGTGATGTTTCTTGTGAGCTGGAGTCTGTGTTGCTAAGCAATGCAGGCTCTTCTCTAGCAGGCGTAAGCTTCTGTTTCTGCAACTTCAGGGCTTTTGGAATGAAACTGGAATTTTAAAATAAACAGACACCTTGTCATTTGGTAAATAAATTTTCAAGATCAGCTATGTTTATAGTTGGAATGTGCTAAGGTAATGCCTCTGTTGCCTAATCAGTTGTGGGTAGGATTGCATTCTTGATGACTGTTTCCACATGCATTGCTTTCCTCTGAATGATGTCAGCTCTAATTAAATGTGCATCTGACTCCAAAGCTGGAGCAGTAGCAGAGCTTCAGAAGGGCTTGGAAGACACCTCCAAAGCAAGCTGGAAGAGCAGCAAAACTGCACAAGATGAGTGCAGAGCTTTTGCAAAAATGTGGAAAAGAGGCAGGTTTTAAGAGACAGTTCAAGGCTTTGAAAGCCAGGAGAGAAGTGAGGATTGCAATAAGGGAGTCAGAATTAAATCTTGTGCCTCACTGCTGTGGGCTTATTGCCCTGTGGTCCAAGGCTTCAGTCTTACCACAGAGATATTGCAAGAGGGGGGCCCTGAATGCCAATGACTGGCCCACACGAAGTAATTACAATTCATAATCTTCCTCGTCAGTATCCATCCCACAAAACCTTCCTAGTGACAAAACTTAATGAATATGGTGGAACCTGTGTTCCTAAGGCATGGCAGAATTGATGGTTGGAGTAGAATGGCAAATGTTTGACACTTCCTAGGCCCCTGGCACAGCTCTAGAAGCCATTTGTTGATGTGGTGCTGTGTAGGAAACACAAGCTATGTTCAGGTGGAGTCACATGGCCTGCATATAACATGCTTCAGGCTATGTTTTCTTGCCTAATTTCCTAAAGGAAGATGACAGTGCTATTCCTCTGTGTCTGTAGCCTGGAAGGGGGGAAGAGATGCAAGTTAGTGACCCTTTTTGGAGAGAAAACATGTCATTAGAATAACAGAGCTGTGTTCTGACCCACCTACTCCTTTGCATGGCACATGATGGCAGCAGGCAGGGCAGGGTGTGCAGCTGTCTGAGCCACACAGGGACAGACTGAGGGGACAGAAGGGGACCAGGGGCTGGGGGAACACTGGTGGGGTCAGTGGGAGAGATGGGAGCTGAAAGCAGTGAGATAGGAAGAAGTCAGAGAGAAAAGGGGCAAAAATAAAAGAAAAATAAAGAATGAAAAAGTGAGGTGGGTTAGTCCTAGAGTGGGTTAGTCCATGAAACAATTTGTGTTGGGATCAAATAGGAAGGGCAGTAAGGTGGATTGTCATTTGCTTTTAGTGTTTTTCTTTTCCAGTTCTCAGTTTCAGGCTAAAATGTTGCTTTTTGACTGTTTTCAGGTCTTGATTTTATCCGGGCTGAAGGGTTTGTGTTTTCTCACGTGGCTGATGAAGGGATTATCAATGCCTGTGCAGGTGACCTGCTACGATACAGAAAACACATTGGAGCAGACAACATTCAGATTTTTGCTGATATTAAAAAGAAGCATAGGTAAATACAAGCAAAATTTTATTTAAATATGAATGCAATAATGATCTTATATTTTTCTCCATTTTTGGGGGTCTTTTTAATGTCAATTTTCTTCCGGGAAAGTTAATCATTTGGAGAGAGGTTTATTATTTAAGCACAGACTTGCAGTGCTGTAAGGGGGATAAATTTAAAAATAAATTTGCAGCTGTAAGTTGCTTTATCTGTGATGTTTGTAGTTGTTTAACCTTCAGGTTTTCAGTATGCCAGCTATGAAAGCCTTGCATCTTGTATTGAGACTTTGTATGCATGTGTAAATGTCTATTATGTTTAAAGAAGTTTTGTTTCTGAAAGTTAGGTATCCAAGGTTATTTTTTAGTTATGAAGGCAGTTGCCATATAAAAGCATCCAAGTCATCGTAGTTTGGCATTTTAAAAAGCTCTTCTCTTTCTTCTCCTTCCTGCCAATAATACTGATTCCTGCTACTTAAATCAGTGCTGTCTGTGTAAGGGTTATGTTCTGTGATTATCAAACAGAAGGGACTTATGACAGATAAATCCAGTTTCTTTTCTGCTTATACTTTATCTTACCTGTCACATGGTACTTTCAGCTATTTAGATGTCACTCTTTGGATTTGTTGTTTGTTTTTTTTCCCAGAAGAACTGTGCTATGTATTATACATGCTAAATAACCTAATTAAAATGTTTGTGTGTAGTATGTGAGCAATCATGAGAATAATCAAGTTTGGAAGATCTTAAATATGTAATAAGCAGGTAATAAATTTCAAAAGAGAAAGGAAACAATGCAGTGTGGTGGTCAGATGAAGATTTTCAGGTCCTTTCAGAGCAGTTTCTTTCTGGTTATTTTTAACATATATATACAAATGCAAATAAATTGCATTAGACTTTCTGTAAATGAAATTGCATCATGTCATTTTTATTTTTAGCCTTAACAATTGATGAATTGATATTTGGATTATACTTCCCATTTTTCAAAGAGTTGGCATTTAAGAAAGGCAAAGAAGTTTTTGTTTCAGGCAGAAACATAAAAGGAAATGCTGAAGGACTTCTTGGTTGAGCTTTTCAATGTAGAAAAGTGCAGCTGCCACTGAGAGCTGCTATGCTCCTGTTCTTTAAATGAGGAGAAACTGTTCTTGTGCCACAGCACTCAGCAGTGCAACATGTTTGCCATAGCTGTTGTTTTCTATTTAAATACAGAAAATCCAACAGTGTTGGATGTTCAACCAGCAATGGCTGGAATTCTCTCCAAGTTTGGGACCACATAAATTAATAGTTACTATTGCAACAGATCTCAGACCAAGTGTGTCACCCATACATCAAAGCCTGCTGCTGAACAGCTGGGATGCAGGTGAAATTGATGTTTGTAATTGCTGTGTAAGATGATTCCTGTGGTTATATCCTAGGTATTAACTATACTTTCTGTTATTGGACTTGTGGAGGTTGTTGATTCTGCCCTAGGCAACAGGATCTGATTTATGAATGAGGGCACATCCACAACTCCCACTTGAAGTCAGAGAGTTCTGTGTGCTCAACACTTGTGAAATACAGGTGCTTGACATGTAAGCAGCTGTCTCAATTGACACTTGGTGGTTCACACTTAGCACTCACTCTCTAGAACCAAGAGCAATGACAGATCAATGATGGAAAAGGTTGGTTTTAAACTCCTGCTCGGGTGGCAGTGTCACCTGCTGGCAGTGTCACCTGCCAGTGTGAAGGTGCACCCTGCTAAAGCAGCCCCTGGGGCTTCTGCCAGCACGGGGTGGGGGCACAGG